AATCCCCTGATCCCAGAAGTCACCTTGTAATTGTGGACTTTCATTTTCATTTTGTCCCAGAATCACTTGTAATTTTTTTGTTACCATGTATGTAGGCTGAGTGGTTTTACCTTTTTTCTGGGCCAAATGTTCCCCAAGGAAAATTTTCTAGAGTCTTTTTGATTGCTCTCAGGCATTTTCATTTTGTGCGTCTTTAACCACATTGGATTGAGAGAGATTCTTTTCTTTTCTTTCTTTTTCTTTCAAGATTTATGTATACAAGAACTGGGGTGTAGGCCAGAGGTGCAGAGGGTGAGAGGATTCACCAGAGACAGTGGGAAGCAGAACATGTGGATTTACTGAAATAATAACACTGCTAAGGGGAGCAGCAGGTGAGACAGGAGAGATCTGCTGTGCCATGTGGGTTAGCTTCCTTGTGGGGAATGGAACTGGCAATAGCTTGATAGCACTTTAACCCCTATGCCACCAAGGAGGCCCTGGGCTATACTTTTAAACAGCTAGTCTTAGTATTCTCTTGAGTGCATGATCCTTTAATTAAAAAAATTAATTGAACACATTTTCCCCTTAGGTATTTCCTTAATGTGCTTTCATTACTAGTAGTATCCTCAGCCCACTCTATATTTTTTTTTTACAAAAAAATTTTGAAATCTTTTAAAATCCCTAGGTCACTTCACATGTTTGTTTAAAACTTCATTATAGACACTCAGCCAGGTACATATTCAATGTAGTATTGTCACACTATGTTGAGAACTCACAAATGAGTGATCACAAAACTCTCAGTCCTTCCCACTGTGGGACCTTCTGCTTCTATATTGCACATATATAAAACATGTATATTAAAATTTAAAGCTAGGGCCTCCCTGGTGGCAGAAGGGATTAGGACCCAGCCTGTGAAACTGTCAGCAGCCTCTGCAGCACGAGTTTGATCCTCGGCAGGTCAGGGAGCAACCCACATGGCGCAGCAGACCTCTCCTGACTCACCTGCTACTCCCCTCAGCAGTGTACTTCGGTTGAGCTGCCTGTTCTGTTCCCCGCTCTGGCTCTGGGGAATCCTCTCACCCCCACACACCTCTGGCCTGTACCCCAGCTCTTGTATGCATAAATAAATAAATCTTTAAAAAAAAATTAAAAGCTAAATTGTTTTCTAGACTAGAAAAAATTAACTTCTGTTTCCTTCATGTACCCTAATGGAATATCTCACCCACCCACTTTAGACAGTATAGTTATTTTAGTGAGTATATGTATTGTTGAGGATTAGTTTGACTGTAGGTAACAGAAACCTAAAATAATCACCACCAAGACAGTTCATTCACATAAAGAAATGTGACAGTAGGCAATCTGGGACTAAGATGATGGCTCCCAAGATTATGGAAGATCCAGGCTCCTTCTACTTCTTGTTTTTCTAACGCCAGAATGTGACACTCATCCCTGTGTTCCAAGTTGTCTATTTAGAAAACAGCCTTGACTCAGGGGCTTAGCAGTATGAAGGAGGAAGGAGTTGAAAAAGGAATTGTGCCTTCACTATAAGGAATACATTCTGTAAGTCCCATAAGATAAATGCTGATTACATCTTGTGAGCTAGAACTTTTTGTGTGGCTGTACCTAGTTTTAAGGGAAGCTAGGAGGAAATACAGTCTTTTCTTTTAGCTGGGTAACAGTGCACAACTAAAATTTGGGGTGGAAGGAATTCAGGTGACTGATCATTAATCCCTGCCACATGGAGGTAGTCTTCATGAAGTATAACCCACATAAATTATAATTCACCCATTTAAAGTGTCCACTTCAGTGCCTCCCTGGTGGCGCAGCGGGTTGAGTGTGGCACTGTGAGGCTATCCGTAGCCTCTGCAGCGCCGGTTCGATTCTTGGCCTGCCAGGAGAAACCCACATGGTGTGGAAGGACCTCTCCTGTCTCGCCTGCTCCTCCCCTAAGCAGTGTCTTCGGTCTGCCTTTCTGCTCCCCATTCTCTCTGGTGAATTCTCTCACCCTCCTATGCCTCTGACCTATACCCCAGTTCTTGTATAAATAAATCTTAAAAAAATTAAATTAAAAAAAATAAAGTGTGCACTTCAGTGGTTTATAGTATATTTACAGAATTCTATCAGTCATCTCATCATTTTAGAAAAATTTGATCCTCTTAAAAAGTGACTATTTTTTGTCTTCTTTAGTTGTCATTCCCTATTACCCCCCCTCTTAACTGCCTTCCCTAGGCATCCACTAATTTGCCTTGTGTCTCTGTTTACCTGTTCTGGACATATGAATGGAATCACACAATGTATACTTATTTATAATTAGTTTCTTTAACATATATGATGTTTTCAGGGTTCATCTGTGTTGTAGCACCCATCAGTATTCCCCTCCCCCTTTATTGCCAAACAGTATTCCATTGTATTGTTGTGCTATGTTTCATCCATTCATAAGTTGCACTTTGGTTTGTTTCCAATTGTTGGCAAGGATAGATAATGCTGCTGTGAACATTTGTGTACAGGTTTTTGTGTAGACATGTTTTCACTTGGATATCTAGGAGTAGAACTGCTAGATCATGTCTAGTCAGACCGTTTATTTTTAAATTGGGTTATTTGTTTATTTTACTACTGAGTTGTCGAAGGTTTTTTTTGTTTTTTAATTTGGATCCAAACCAGCATCTTGACTGCAACCTCAGGTGGGACCCTGAGCCAAACCACCAATCTATGCTGCTTTTTTTTTGTTAAGTTGTAAAAGTTCTTTATATAGTTTAGTTATAATCCCTTATCAGGTACCTTATTTGCAAACATCTGTTCCTATTCTGTGAATTGTCTTCTCATTTTCTTGATGGTACCTGTTGAAGTACAAGTGTTTTAAATTTTTTATGAAGTCTAGTTTATCTTTTCTCTGTTTGTTTGTTTGGTTGCTGGTGATGAGTATATTTGCAGTATATTGTGCTAAATACATTATTCATAAAAGGTGGAAGCAACTCTGGTGTCCATTAAGCAGATGAATGTATTTTACAGTTTTAGCTTTTCCAGCTAAGTATAATCCCTCTTGAGTTATTTTTTGTATGTGATGTGATAGGATTTTCTTCAGGCTTTTGCATGTATATTCAGTTTTCTCAGCAATATATGGTGAAATGATTATTTTTTGTCTTCATTAAATTGTCTTGGCATCTTTGTTGAAAATTAATTGCCCCTACATCAGAGGGTTTAATTTCTGAAATTCTGTTTTGTCGGGTTTTTTTTTTGTTTGTTTGTTTGTTTTGGAGTCTGTTTACCTATGTTTTTATCTTTATGCCTGTGTAGCTTGATTACCGTAGCTTTGTATTAAGTTTTAAAATCAGGAAATGTGACTCCTACAAGTTTGTTATTTTTCAAGATAGTTTTGGCTATTCAGGGTCCAGTGAATTTTCTGAGCAGTTTGTCATTTTCTTTCTTTCTTTCTTTTTTTTTTTTTTTTAAGATTTATTTATTTATTTATACAAGCACTGGGTACAGGCAGAAGCGCGGGAGGGTGAGAGAATTCACCAGAGCTAGAGCGGGGAGTAGAACACGCAGACTGATGAAGCACACTGCTAAGGGGAGCAGTGGGCATGGCAGGAGATGTCTGTGCACCATGTGGGACCCTCGCAGGTGGCTGGGGATCAAACCGGCGCTGCAGAGGCTGCGGGCAGCTTTGCAGCCCAGCGCTCAACTGCTGCGCCACCAGGGGAGACCCCAGTTTGTCATTTTCTACAAAGAAACCAGCTGGGCTTTTTTTTTACAGGAATTTGTAGATTAACTTAGAGGATATTGCCATTTAACAATATTCCAATCCATGAGCTATGAATGTCCTTCCATTTTAGAGTTTTCATTTCTCTCGGTAATATAGTATTCAGAGTATGTTTTGTACTTTTAATTTATTCCTGTTCTTTTTGATGCCATTGTAAGTGAAATGTTTTTCTAAATTTCATTTCACTGATTCATTGTTAGGATATAAATATATAATTGGTTTTTATGTTTACATAAACATTTGTTGATTCTAATACATACATATATTTAGTGAATTCTTTAAGATATTCCATATATAAAATCATGTCTTCTGCGAATTGAAATAGTCTTATTTTTTCCTTTCTAGTCTAAATGCCTTTTATTTCTTGCCTAATCGCCTGGCTAGAATTTCTAGTATCATGTTGGATAGAAGTCGCAGGAGTGGACATCCTTGGTTTTTTGTGTGTTTTTTTTTTTAATCTTTTATTTTATTTATTTTTTTTTGCCTAGAAGAACTGGGGTGTAGGCCAGAGGTGTGGGGGTAGGAGTAAGAGGATTCACCAGAGACTGGGTGGGGAGCAGAACAGGCAGATCTACTGAAATACACTGCTGAGGTGAGCAGCAGATGAGACAGGAAAGGTCTGCTGCACCATGTGGGTTAGCTCCCTGGCCGGGGATCGAACTCATGCTGCAGTTGTTGATGATAGCTTGCTAGCACTGAGACATAATAACCAGTGCCCTGCCAGGGAGGCCCGAGATCCTTGTCTTATTCCTAATCTTGGGGAAGGCTTTTGATTTTTTTTTTTTCACCACTAAATACAATGTTAGAGTTTTTGGTATGACATTATGGTACTAAGTGGAAAGGTATAATAGTATTTTGTATGTGGGTATGCTAATAAAGGCCTGTGCTGTGTGATTTAGGGCATCCCCGGTGGCGCAGAGGTTTAGCGCTGGGTTGCGAAGCTGCCCGTAGCCTCTGCGACACCGGTTGGATCCCTGGCTGCTCCCCGGCCACTGGAGGAGAGTCCCACATGGTACGCAGACCTCTCCTGCCGCCTGCTGCTCCCCTCAGCAGTGTACTTCGGTCCTTCTGCCTGCTCTGCTCCCCACTCTGGCTCTGGTGAATTCTCTCACCCTCCCGTGCATCTGACTGTACCCAGTGCTTGCATAAATAAATAAACAAACAAATAAATCTTAAAAAAGAAAAAGAAAAGTGTGATTTATAGCCTGAAGCAATTATGACTTTTGGGCATTTTATATAACACCTTTGTTTTATGTTTCAGCAATGGCTGCCATCCGGAAGAAACTGGTGATTGTTGGTGATGGAGCCTGTGGCAAGACTTGCTTGCTCATCGTCTTTAGCAAGGACCAGTTCCCAGAGGTGTATGTACCCACAGTGTTTGAGAACTATGTTGCAGATATTGAAGTGGATGGAAAGCAGGTGAATATAACTTCCATAATAATTAGTACTGTTACTTAACAGGAAGTTTTGGGGAATTCAGCCCCTTTGTCTCTTCTGTACATCATATAACAACAAAAATTTTGAAATAAGAAATCCATTGTCATCCTCCTATCTTAGCCCAAATTTATTAATTTTTAACTGCTATCCAGATTTTGTCTACAGCTGTATGTATTTCATGTGGGGAAACTTTAATATCTATTCTTTTCAGCTTTATTTATATTTCAATTTTAGTTTATTGCCACATGAAAAATGCTAAAATGAACCTCTTTGGATGGATGGGCTTGAAAATAAATTCTATCATAGTATTCATTGAGAACTGAGTATTGAATTACTAGGTCAAGAGGTCCTTATCAGCTATACTGATCACCACCAGTACTATGATGTTTAAACAACATCTTTACTTATATTTAATTTAAAAAGTTTTGGGTGGTTTTTTTTTTTTTTTTTTTTTTTTAACTTTAAAATAAATAGACTGCCACATTTGTTTCTATTACCTTGGTGATGAGAACAGTGTTTTCCCCCATGTTTATCCTGAAAGCCCACTGGCAAGACTGGGGCAAAGCTTTTCTGGAACTCGTTTATTTATTTATTTTTTAATCTCTGCTCCCTTTTGTGTCAGAATAACATCTTACCCAGTGTTCTGTGCAACTCCCTTTGCAAATGGGTCAGCTGAAAACAAAACTAGAGCAAAGGGCTCTTCTCCAACACATTCAGTCCTCTGGGGCATTTAGTCACATATTTCATGCTGCCAGTACATAAAGTATTGACTTGCATAATTCCATCTCCTGTCTCCCTTCTCATTTTCCTGTTTTACCTACTAAGCCTTTTTGTCCCAGTGTCCCTAGCTCTTTTGTTTCACTGTATATGGAAAGCATATTAGGATAGCTGTTAACCATTCTATGACTTCTCATTATAGGGTCTCCCAATAATTTTGAGCTCTTTATTTGTAAAATGGTATAAGCCATTTTACAGGTGACATCAGGATTCTATTCAGTAAATGAAAGCATATGGAAGCACCAAAGCACTTTACAAATTGGGTTGAATGGCATACTCAAAACTTTTTAATTTGTAGTCCATTTTTATTTGATTGCATTGTGGGTCACAGTGATTACGCTCATGCTACGAGAAATCCTAAGGCAAATAAATTCCAGCTTGAAAGAACTCTTGAGTTCTACCCTGCGGTGGCCCATCAATACAGAATATTGCCGATTCAACTGCTGTCGGTTTACTGTACAGGTGCTTAGATAACAGGTATTTCCGTAGGCCTGATAGGAAGACTGATTGTATATAGAGACAGGACCTAGTTATTTGGAAATGTGCTGACATCTTTCAGCCTGCTGTCGCATAACGGTATTGTTACCAGTAGTGTCTCACACTACTGGCACACACGGAGACGCGGTGACTTGAGGAAAACAGAGCCAGGCTGGTGTTTTCATGGCGTATTTCTCAAAAGAGTGTATGCAGCTGTGTTATCATGTCGTTCCATCCGACTCGGAGTTGCTGGGTCTCTACTTGCCCATCAGTTGGAATATTTTCCTCCTGTAGCAGTACATGTTTTGGGGGCAATAGTATCTCTTCTGTCTTTGTGTAAACATCATCTGGGCTTGGGTGGTTTTGGAATGGGGATCTTCCCCATAAGAAATTTAGAGATCTTGACTTAAAAGCTTGAGAAATAGTTGAATATTATTCTTACACTGCCAACTTGGAACATGCCTAACCCTGGTGATACCTAGGAGTACCCTCTCATCCAAGGAGAAAAACCCTGAAAAAAAGGTGGTTCATTTGGAAGGCTTAGAGCCTAGCTGCCTCCCTCTGAGCAGCTCTCCTCAAGGTGGTCGAGGGAGCTGCCTGGGGATTTTTTTTTTTTTTTTTTAAGATTTATTTATTTAGGAACTCCCTGGTGGTGCAAGGGGTTAAGACACAACCTACAGGGCCTCCCCGGTGGCACAGCGGTTGAGCACTGGGTTGCGAAGCTGCCCGCAGCCTCTGCGGCGCCGGTTCGATCCCCGGCTGCTCCCTGGCCACCGGAGGAGGGTCCCACATGGCGCGCAGACCTCTCCTGCCGCCCGCTGCTCCCCTCAGCAGTGTACTTCGGTCCTTCTGCCTGCTCTGCTCCCTGCTGTGGCTCCGGTGAATTCTCTCACCCTCCCGCGCTTCTGACTGTACCCAGTGCATGTACAAACAAAACAATCAAACAAACAAAAAAATAAAATAAAAAAGACATGCCTCTATTAAAAAAAATTTTTTTTATTAAAAAAAAAAAGACAACCTACAAAGCTATCCGCAGCCTCTACAGGACAAGTTCGATCCCCTAGCCGGCCAGGGAGCTACCCACATGGCACAGCAGACCTCTCCTGACTCACCCGCTGCTCCCCTCAGCAGTGTACTTTGGTTGTTCTGCCTGTTCTGTTCCCAACTCTATCTCTGGTGAATCCTCTCACCCCCTGCACCTCTGGCCTATACCCCAGCTCTTGTATGCATAAATAAATACATCTTTTTTTTTTTTAAGATTTTTTTTTTTTTTAAGATTTATTTATTCACCAGAGACAAAATGGGGATCAGAACAGGCGTACTGACCGAAGTACACTGCTAAGGGGAGCAGCAGGCGAGACAGGAGAGGTCTACTGCGCCATGTGGGAGCTCCCTGGCCAGCAGGGATTGAACTCGTGCTGCAGAGGCTGTGGATAACTTCACAATGCTGGGCTTAACAACCCTTGCACCACCAGGGAGGCCCTACCTGGGAATTTTAATTTGACAGTATTAACAGAGCCTAAGGGAGTCATCTAAGATTGATTCTGGGATCATGTCCCAGAAATAGGCCTACCAAAAATGGAAGTACCATTCTGATGTGAGACAAGCTCAGCACCCCAGAGTCATTTATCAGGAGAAAGTCTGAGTTCTACCCTGCGGTACCTATACCTATGAGGTCTGGAAAGCCAGGGTTCAGAAGAGAAGGAATAAACTCTACCATTCTGAGATTAGGTTTGTTAAAAGGATTGGGCATCAACATACCATAGATACACATACCAAGCTGATTATATGTGTATGTGATAGAAGTACAGTGGTCCTTGTGGAGGTTGTGAGTGATGCATCTAGGGGCAGAGATTAAAGGTGGAAGAAAGGACTAGCCACCCATCAACTGTAAGGAAGGAATGATATTTAGAAACTAAAATTTGGTTTGTGAAGGTGCTAAGAAGGGTATTCCTAGCATTGAAGGGAGAGCTCTCTGAGACCCAAAAGACCACTTAGCAGAGGATGTTAAAAATCTACTCTGGTTCTAAGAAGGAGTGATATGGCTAACTGCAGTGCTGGACAATGTGGAATGAGACCTATATCCAGAGTCCAGGCAATAGTTTGCCCTCTGACCACAGGAGGGTGACCTGGTTCCCAGGTGTGAACAGAGAGTACTCTCCTACTTAAGTAGATATATTCATTCAGACATTTTTTAAACAGTAAAGATAAAGTCAGAAGCCTTTCCCGTCAGCTCGGATTTTGCCTAAAACCCAGCATGGTGTTCCTTACCTACCAAACCAAATGCAGTGTTGTCTCCATGTTTTCCACAAAGGAGCAGACTGATGAGATAAACTAAGGAAATGTTTGTGTGGAAATGTATTACAAAATGTTACTCAATCTTGTTTTTCCATGTCTTTCCTATATGCCTTGGTGGAATGTTATTTACAATTTGATTTCTCCTCTTGTTCATCCACTTTCTTTCCTATAAAATTTTTTATAATTAAAAACTTAATAGCTACAAAGTTATTTTTTATTTCATATTTTGAACTAGGTATCTATTTATTAAATATGAAGATTGAGAAACAATTTAAATTGTTTTTAAGTATACCTTCCAACTTCAGATTTGATTCTTACAAAAGTGTTTTACTATTTTAGACAGTTTTCCATTCAAATGTATCACGGTAAATCATAATACTGAAAGTGGGCTACCTCTTTGGAAAGTGGGTAGTAGAATTAATCTTGCACTCTCTTGTGTTTTTCCCATCACAGGTGGAGTTGGCTTTGTGGGACACAGCTGGGCAGGAAGATTATGATCGCTTGAGGCCCCTCTCCTACCCAGACACTGATGTTATACTGATGTGTTTCTCTATTGACAGCCCTGATAGTTTAGGTGAGTGACGCTGTATGTAGAGTGATGATTTCACTGCTCTGTGCCTAACTCACACCTGGTTTCTCACCTTCTGGGCATCAGGTGGCAAAAGAGTAGACATTAGTTTCAAAGAAGGAATCCTCAATGGCCGAAGTCACACAGCCCTGGGACTATAGAACCTGGGTTTTGGGTCCCTTTTCTTTCTTTTCTTCTTTTTTTTTTTTTAAAGATTTATTTATTCATTTATACAAGAACCGGGGAATAGGCCAGATGCGCAGGAGGGTGAGAGGATTCACCAGAGACAAAGCAGGGTATAGAATAGGCAAACTGATGAAATACACAGCAGGGAGGCCTGCCAAGGGCCTTTTAAAAGTTTTATATTGGGGGGGTCTCCCTGGTGGCCCAGGAGTTAAAGACAGCGCTATCAAGTTATCGCCAGCCACTGCATATGAGTTTGATGCCCTGCCAGGGAGCTGACCCACATAGCGCAGCAGACCTCCTGTCTAGCCCACTGTTCCCCTCAACAATGTATTGCAGTAGGGCTTCCCCGGTGGCGCAGTGGTTGAGCGCTGGGTTGCGAAGCTGCCGGCGACCTCGCAGTAGATCTGCCTGTTCTGCTCCCCACTCTGTCTCTGAGTCCGCTCACCCCTTACTCCTCTACCCTGGACCCCAGTTCCTATATGCATAAATAAATACTTTTTAAAAAAAATTTTATCTTGGCTAGGGAGTAGGGTGGGAATCCCAGTAGTAGTTTTACTCCAATACAATGTGCTATGGGAACTCAAAAGTCTGTATTAAGAATGAAAATGAAGCACCTCCCTGGTGGTGCAAGGGGTTAAGACGCAACCTATGAAGCTTTCCGCAGCCACTGCAGCACAAGTTCAATCCTCGGCCAGGGAGCTACCCACATGGCGCAGCAGACCTTTCCTGCTGCACCTGCTGCTCCCCTCAGGAGTGTATTTCAGTCAATCTGCCTGTTCTGTTCCCTACTCTGTCTCTGGTGGATCCTCTTACCCCCACATCTCTGGCCTGTACCCCAGCTCTTGTATGCATAAATAAATAAATCTTTTAAAAAAAGGAACTTCTGTAAAAGACCAAATAATATTTTAGATTGTGTTGTCTATGTTCTCTGTTACCATTGCAGCATGAAACAGCCATAGAAAATAAATGAAGGAGCTTCACTGTGTTCCAGTTAAACTTATAAAAATAAACTCCAGACAAGATTTTATTTGCTAACCCCAATCTAGATTATGTATTCCTTTTCTGTGGCTTTCTGCAATTTCCAAAGGCCCTCCCAAAAAGCTCTGTAAACCCATGTAAAATGACATACCCTAATGTGATCAGACTACTTTAGGGGTATAGAAATTACAGGTAATTGCCATCATTGAATTAAAAAGTAAGAAATTAAAGTTTTAAAATTTTTTATGATATTATAAACCAATGATAAATCAGTAAAATTTAATTTAAAACAATAAAGTCATGGGCCTCCCCCGTGGCTCAGTGGGTTGAGCGCAGCGCTGTGAAGCAGTCTGCAGCCTCTGCAGTGGGGGTTTGATTCCTGGCCAGCCAGGGAGATACCCACATGGCCCTGCAGACCTTTCCTGTGTTGCCCACTGCTCCCCTCAGCAGTGCCTTCGGTCCCTCTGCCTGTTCTGCTCCCTGCTCTGTCTCTGGTGAATCCTCTTACCCTCCTGCACCTCTGGCCTTGTATCCCAGCTCTTGTATAAATAAATGTTAAAAAAAAAAATAAGTCATTCATGAAAAGTAAAGCCAAGACAGAGACAATTCACTGCAGTTTATATATCCTAAAGCAGGGGAGTAGGGAAGATTGTTACAGTAATAATTATTGAGCACCTACTTAAGGAACTTTTATTCTAGATGAAGGGAGGCAGCAGAGTAAAAGCATTAACCACTCCCCTTCCTCCCTGCACACAAGTATCAGTAATTCCAATAATAGTAAATATTACAAATAACCTTTGTAGAGGTAGGTATGGAATAAGCCATATTAGCGGACTCCTTTTAGAGGATGACCATAGGATGGTGTGAGCTTCACTGAAAATGGTGATTTCTGAATAGGTACCTGAAGGAGATAAACAAGGACATCACAATATGCAATAAAATAACCTTTTTGGTGCCAAGTACAAGGTCACTGAGGCAGAGAAAAGAAGGAATGCAGGGCCTCCCCTGGTGGTGCAGCGGTTGAGTGCTGGGCTGTGAGGCTGCCTGCAGCCTCTGCAGTGCCGGTGCAATCCCTGGCCACCAGCGAGGGTCGCACATGGCACGACAGACCTCTCCTGCCGCGCCCGCTGCTCCCTTCAGAAGTGTATTCCGCCAGTCTGCCTGTTTTGTTCCTTGCTCTGTCTCCGGTGAATCCTCTCACCCTCCTACGCTGCTGGCTATACCCAGTGCTTGTATAAATAAATAAATAAATCTTTTTTTTAAAAAAAAGGGAATGCTGTGTAGCCATAGCAGAGGGAGTGGGAATAGGAGTTGGAGAGCCATGTGGATAGTAGTATGGCACTCTCCTTTCATTGTGAGGTGGCAGGTTCAAACAAGGGAACAATGTGACCTTGCTTATATATATATATTTTTAAAAGATTTATTTATTTATACAAGCACTGGGTACAGTCAGAAGCACGGGAGGGTGAGAGAATTCACCAGAGCCAGAGCAGGGAGCAGAGCAGGCAGAAGGACCAAAGTACACTGCTGAGGGGAGCAGTGGGTGGCAGGAGAGGTCTGCGCGCCTTGTGGGACCCTCACCTGGTGGCTGGGGATCGAACCAGCGCTGCAGAGGCTGGGGGCAGCTTACAACCCAACGCTCAATCGCTGTGCCACCGAAGAGGCCCCTTGCTTATCTTTTAAAGTGAATGCTGTCACAGCTGAACTGAAAACTAATAACCACAGGGTGCAGAGATTAGGGCATGTTTCGGCATTATTTGGCTTTTCTGTTAAATACGCTGGCCCTTTTTTTTTTATTTGAAGATTGAGACATTACACTTCTTTGGGAACCCTTTTGTTCCAGAATTGGGCTTTGTGTTTCAAGTTGTCATGCTAGTGATCTAAGGAAGTCTGTAGCTGCTAAAATCATCTCTATACTGATGGGCCCAATATGGTGGATGTGAGAGGTTGAACTGGGGCTGTTCATCCATCATGATGTACTTACACGACCTTTCTAGATGAATGCAGTATTGGCAAGAAGCTACAATTGGTTATCACTCTCAAAAGTCACACGTGAGTGCCTCCCCTGGTGGTGCAGCGGTTGAGCGCTGGGCTGCGAGGCTGCCCGCAGCCTCTGCAATGCCGGTTCATTCCCCAGCTGCCGGCGAGGGTCCCACAAAAAAAAAGTCACACGTGAGCCATGGAAATACCACTTAGTGGTGGCCATGCTGAGGGCTTGTGAACAAAGTGGAGGGAGAACATGCAGATCCCGGGTCAGCTGTGCTCCAGCACGGGGGCTCCTGTGAGCTCTAGTCAGAATCATCTGCTGACAATGACAGGGATGGTCCATGGGCAGCCTCTGTCATGGGGCAGGTGACACCATTACAGAACCACCATGTGTTCAGAATCATTTGTTCCTCCAAGCCTTTCTTTGGGCCCTGCCTCTAGAGTTTCTGAACTCTTTGGTGGGGCTGAGAAAAGCTGCCGATTCTGTGCTTCAGGGTAGGGGCTTAGGTTTTGCTTTTTTGTAGTTTGAAACCAGTGAAATTTCGGGCCTCCCCGGTGGCACAGCGGTTGAGCGCTGGGTTGCAAAGCTGCCCGCAGCCTCTGCGGCGCCGGTTCGATCCCCGGCTTCTCCCCGGCCACCGGAGGAGGGTCCCACATGGCGCGCAGACCTCTCCTGCCGCCCGCTGCTCCCCTCAGCAGTGTACTTCGGTCCTTCTGCCTGCTCTGCTCCCCGCTCTGGCTCTGGTGAATTCTCTCACCCTCCCGCGCTTCTGACTGTACCCAGTGCATGTATAAACAAAACAAACAAACAAACAAAATAAAACATGCCTCTATTAAAAAAAAAAAAAAAGAAATATGAAACCAGTGAAATTTCATTAAATGTCCAGCATACTTGTAGTTTATTTGCAGTTTAACTAGGGGTCTTGGAATTCAAGAGAAAATTGTATGTATCCCCAATTATGTACATTTTGCTTCTTTCAGAAAACATCCCAGAAAAATGGACTCCAGAAGTCAAGCATTTCTGTCCCAACGTGCCCATCATCCTGGTTGGGAACAAGAAGGATCTTCGGAATGATGAGCACACAAGGCGGGAGCTGGCCAAAATGAAGCAGGCATGGTCTGGGGCAGGGCTGTCCTCCTGTAGCATTCTTCCAACAGTCCACAGTTGGAGGTTCAGGGAACCCAGTAGAAACCCTCACATGCCAGGCTATTTTGGCATCCTAGAAGTTTCTTCTCATCTGGCCCTCATTGTCTGGGGCCAGCACGCAGGGGTCCCTAAGACTCCCATGTCATATGAGAGAGAACCTCCTGTGAAGTAGAGCTGTGACCTTAAGCACTGCCTGCCTGAGAAAGGATCATCACAACAGTAGTCAGTGCCCCAGTTGGAGGAACTTTGTCAGACTCCGATTTCTCTTTGTAGTTATACCTTGGTATAAGTGAGGCCACAGATAAATAAATGGGTGACAACTGAAGGATCAGGAAATCTGAGGGAAAGGAGTTCAGACAGAGCCCAGATACTTTATAAAGGTGGCGTCTTGGCTTCTGAGAAGTCCCCTAACCCTGAGACGGCTGTCACTGCAGGAGAAGTGCCTTGAGAGAGAGACAGCCTAGCTTCTCCCATTGGGGTTTCTCTTTCAGGGTCAGGGACTCCAGTCCTCTCTGCGCTAACCACAGGAAGACCCATAGCTTACTCTGGATTGACAGCTTGAGTAATTTTGCCCTTGATTCCTCCTCAGTCTTCCAGCAATCCTCTGACTTCTTCCTTTTTTCTCTCTACTTCCCAGAGAAGAACACATTTGAGAGAGAGATTATATTTGGGGTTGGGGGTCACTTCATGGGACAGAACTCAAATTGAGGACTTGCCAACTTTTCAAATAAGTCTTTCAGCGGAATTTGAATATACTGTGCCTATTTACTCTGTATGAAACACTATTAACTGAAAGCACTCTTCTCTCTTGTCAGGAGCCAGTAAAACCTGAAGAAGGCAGAGATATGGCAAACAGGATTGGCGCTTTTGGGTACATGGAATGTTCAGCAAAGACCAAAGATGGAGTGAGAGAGGTTTTTGAAATGGCCACGAGAGCTGCGCTGCAAGCCAGACGTGGGAAGAAAAAATCTGGGTGCCTTGTCTTGTGAAACCCTGCTGCAAGCACAGCCCTCATGCGGTTAATTTTGAAGTGCTGTTTATTAATCTTAGTGTATGATTACTGGCCTTTTTTCATTTATCTATAATTTACCTAAGATTACAAATCAAAGTCATCTTGCTACCAGTATTTAGAAGCCAAACTATGATTAATGATGTTCAACCTGCCTGACCTACCAGGGTCCTTCTGACACTTCTCTAACAGCCCTCTGCACTCCCACCTGATACAACCGGCGCTAATTCAAGGAATTTCTTAACTTTTTGCTTCTTTCTAGAAAGAGAAACAAAAGTTAGTAACTTTTGTGAATTAGGCTGTAACTACTTTATAACTAACATGTCCTGCCTATCATCTGTCAGCTGCAAGGTATGGTGAGTCACCACTTCAGGGCTTTATTCCGTAACAGATTTCATTAGCATAGCTCTGGGGTTGGTATTCAGTTTTTTCAAATGTGCTGGACCAGAAAGACCCAAGTCCATGCAGCTGTGGCAAAGTTACAGTTCTGTGGTTTCATGTTAGTTACCTTATAGTTACTGTGTAATTAGTGCCACTTAATGTATGTTACCAAAAATAAATATATCTACTCCAGATTAGATGTAGTATTTTTTGTATAATTGGATTTGCTAATACCAATGTTTGTCATCTTCACAGAAAGTGTATTGGTTTTTTTAAAAAAAAAAAAAGTGTATTTGAAAATAAAGTCAGATGAAAAATTCCTTTTTAAAATTCCCGTTTTGTCAGTTTCTCTCATGAAAGATAATGGTCATATCACCCGTTTTGGCCTCACATAATCCCAGCACTCCCTCCCCAGAGCTGGGCTAAGAATGTGGCATAACCTATCTCACCTGGACTGCAAGATCGGGCTCTAGGTCACCGTGATCTCTTCACTGTATCCAGGTTCCCTCCCAGAGGCGCCACCAGTTCTTGGGTGGTACTCAGTTTCTCCTTTCTTCCAGCTGACTGAACTTTATTTCTGTACCAGTTAATTTTTCCAACTAAACAATAAAGGCTTTTTTCTAAACTTCCTGCATCCTGGTGTTTGTGTTACTCTCTCCAGGGCTGGGAGTGGAGGTGGGGGGCGGGCCCTGATGGACTCAGCCTAGTTCACCTTGGAGGGTTCAAGGTACCAGCTTACCCTACCACCCCCACCCCCAGTCTGGGCTTCCTCTTAGTGTAAATGATTATCTTGCATCACTTTCAAGTTCAGAATGGTGGTGAGATAGGGAATGTAGCCTGTTGGGGATACACATGGGGCAATCCAAAGTGCTTGCTTTATCTCAGGAGAGTGCCATTTTTGTTCCTATTTTAAGTGTCTTTTACTTCCATATCTGATCTCTAAAGTTGACCGGGGATTGAGGATGGCCTGAAATTAGCTGGGTCCTCTGAGAGGCCCTGCATGCAGTTGGCCTTTACTCTGGGAAGTCTGAAGCAGACCCTGAGGAGCTCCTCAAAAAAGCCTGTGTGCAGCACTGGGGTGTAAAAGGAGGGAGACTGGTGGTCTTGGACATGAACATGCCCCAGGCAGTCCTAGAATGCAGGAAAATGAGTTAGAGCCCATTTTAGGAGCCTGAGGCTGGCTGTCTCCGCCATTGCCTAACTCCTACAGCCACAGCCTCGTAAGAGACAGAATTTGTCTTGCAGTTGCCACCAACTGCAACCGCCACAGCACACTAACTTGCTGTATACACCTTGCGACAACAGGGCATATGCTGTAAGATTACTAACATGGCATAAGCTGGGAGTGCTGTGTGGCCCGGGGCAGTGCCTACTGCTGTTGCTGGTCAGTCCCGAGCTGGGACCCAAACCCTAACTGAAGAACCTTTGAGAAAACACCGAGGCCTCTTGGGCCCCGGCCCTGGGCGTGGTGACTCAAGCGGTCGCCAGAAGGCCGCCCTTCCTGGGCAGGAGCAGACGTGCCCGCGGCTCCGCTCATTCAGGGCGGTGCCTGCATCCGGCGCGACCGCAGCCCCCCTCCTAGCCGGACATCAGCCGAGGGAAGGCGGAGGCCGGATGAGGCGGGACCACAGAGGGTGGAGCGCCCGGAAAAGTGCCTGGGCCATGTGACCCCCCGCCGCCGGCCTGTTAAAAGCAGGCGCCGCCGGGCCCAGTTGCTTAGTTCGATTCTCGCGTTCTCGCCTGGCGCCATGTCTGCTGCTCAGGTCACCCGGGCCGCTTCTGCGGCCCAGCGCTCCGTGTACTCCTTCTCTGCGCGCCCGCTGGCCGGCGGGGAGCCTATGAGCCTGGGCTCCCTGCAGGGCAAGGTGCTGCTGATTGAGAATGTGGCGTCGCTCTGAGGCACAACGGTCCGGGACTACACCCAGATGAACGAGCTGCAGCAGCGCTTGGGGCCCCAGGGCCTGGTCGTGCTCGGTTTCCCGTGCAACCAGTTCGGACATCAGGTGCGCCTGGCGCGGTGGAGAGGGGTGGGTGTGCCCCACGGGAGGGAGCGCAGGCGCGGCGGCCGCTGGGCTCGGGGAGGCTGGCCACCCATTGCTTCCCTCCGTCGCCCCGGCTGAGATTCATTCAGCTCCACCCCGGAGTACGCGAGAAGGGCAAGGGCTCGCTGACTTATAGTTGTTTGCGGCCAGAAAGGTTTCCCTTCCCCTCGCGGCTCCGGGTTTCAGCCCCATTTACCCCCGCCGCAGGAAAATACCAAGAATGAAGAGATCCTGAATTCTCTCAAGTACGTCCGACCCGGCGGCGGATTCGAGCCCAACTTCATGCTTTTCGAGAAGTGCGAGGTGAATGGCGCGCAGGCACATCCGCTCTTTGCATTTCTGCGGGAGGCTCTCCCGGCGCCCAGTGACGACCCCAAGTCGCTCATGACCGACCCCAAGTTCATCATCTGGTCTCCGGTGTGCCGCAACGACGTATCCTGGAACTTTGAGAAGTTCCTGGTGGGCCGGGACGGTGTGCCTGTGCGCAGGTACAGCCGTCTCTTTCCCACCATCGACATCGAGTCCGACATCCAAGCCCTGTTGTCCCAGGGGTCCGGCAGTGCTTAGGGCGCCCTTCCATCCCTGCTGTTTCTGGCAGTCACAGTGCTGTCCTCGGGGGATTTTATCCATGACGGTGTTTTCTCTAAACCTGTATGGAGAAACACCTGATATCCGGGAAAATCCCCTGAGGTGGGTGCTAACCTTGTCCAGAACAACGCTCCTCACTAATAAAGTGCCAAGTGCAACAGAACTTTGTGCATGTCCTTTGTGAGTGCCAACTGGGGACATTTCCTGTATATTTTCACTGACGTAGTGCTGGGGCTTAAGCCTCCTCCTAGCCACATGATAGGAAGCCTGGCTCCTGTTCCATTGTTTCGCCCTCTGCCAGGACATGCACTGGGGCCACTCCAATGCCGTTAGGAAAGTCCTTTTTAATTTTCTTTTAATTTTTGTGTAGAAGAACTGGGATGTAGGCTAGAGGTGCGGGAGAGGGTGTGTGTGTGTGTGTGTGTGTGTGTGTGTGTGTGTGTGTAAGGATTCACCAGAGACAGAATGGGAAGCAGAACAGGTGGATCTACTGAAATACACTGCTGTGGGGAACAGTGGGTGAGATGAGAGGGCTGCTGCGCCATATGCGGGTCACCTCCCTGGCTGGGGCTGGTGATAGCACTCAGGTGGTAGCAGTGATAGTGCTAAGACTGAACCCTGAGGTCACGCAGGAGGCCCAGGAAAGCCCTTATTCCAAAAATAGGAAGACAAGTCAAAGACTGATTGCCTAACCCCCATGGTAAGCCTCTCCTTCCTGAGTGTTTGCTGGAAATGCCTTTCACAAAAAGTAACACCCTGGGTTCTTACATTCAGAGAGGCCCACACAACCCATTTTAGGCAGTTTGAAGCTCTTGCAATATTATAAATTCTTTTCCCATTACTATGCTAAATCTTTTGAGTATCCGTGCTCAGTGTTGACATTTGCTCTGAAGCTGCCATTACTAGTTGATACTGCAGGAGGAAGCTAGGAAATGGGCATAGACAGTCAGGAACAGGGTGCCCTAAGCCCCTAAGTCTTTTACAGCCTGATTGAGAAACAACTGCACACCAGGAGGGTGCCCCCACTTCCAATTCAATTAAAATGGAATGTTCAGGGCCTCCCCGGTGGCGCAGTGGCGCAGCAGTTGAGCACTGGGTTGCAAAGCTGCCCGCAGCCTCTGCAGCAACGGTTCGATCCCAGGCTGCTCCCCGGCCACTGGAGGAGGGTCCCACATGGCGCAGACCTCTCCTGCCGCCCATTGCTCCCCTCAGCAGTGTACTTCGGTCCTTCTGCCTGCTCTGCTCCCTGCTCTGGCTCTGGTGAATTCTCTCACCCTCCCGCACTTCTGACTGTACCCAGTGCTTGTATAAATAAATAAATGAATCAATCAATCAATCTTTTAAAAAAAAAAAAAAAAGGAATGTTCAGAATACCAACATAATAGCACAACAGCAACGGACTAAAGCTGGCTGGACCAAAGCTGGTTTCAGAGAAGAAGGCTGGGTAACGGAAAACTCAGTGTGCCTCAGTAGCCTAGGAGACCCCCTCGGGCCCAGCCAATCAATGACACACAAAGCTGAGACACCAAATGGCCAAACCCCCACTCCTTGCCCACTGTACCTACTTGTCACCTCAGTGGCTACACATTCAGGACCCCTCTCCACTCGGGGAGATTTCCTATGCTCCCTACCTGTCTATCACTAAACCTCTTGCTTATCTGTAACTCTGGTCCTGACATTGAATTCTTTAGTTACCAAAGACGAACCGAGGAAGAGCCCACCTAGAGTCTTTGGATGGCCTGCTCCACAAAAGCCCCAATTAAACACCTCTCCTGTCTTCAGAGGAAGAAACCTCACCATGCCTTGCACTTCACTTAGCAGTTGCAGTCATCAAACTCAGGGTAGGTAGGGTCCTATCTTAGAGGCCAGCTGCTGCTTCTCAGGCATGGCTCAAATCCATTCTCTCCATCTGTTGGTCCTGCTGTCAATAATCTTTCTAGACAGACCTGGAACCACTGACTATAATACATAGTACAGTGCACTCTTCAGGGCTTGGATACAACTCTGCTTCTGGGCAGATAAGGACCCAGAGATAGGTTGGCAGTGCCACTCAGTCCAGAATATGGGTCAGAGGCTTTCCGATCCATATTTTTGCTCACATTGACTTTAGAGTTCGTATTTGTGGCTCAAGTCCCTTCTGTGTCTGAAGAAAACATCAAAACCTTTTTCTCCAATCCTAAGCATGAATCTTTGCTGCTGTCCTCCCTTTCAGTGTGCCCTCACATCTTTCAGGAATTAAGCACCTGTTCTGGTGCGCGCGCTCGGGCTCACGCACGTGCTCTCTCCCTCTTTCTCTCTCTTTTTCTCTCTCTCTCAAGATTTATTTTCATTTTATTTATGCATACAAGAACTGGGGTGTATACCAGAGGTGCGGAGGGTGAGAGGATTCACTAGAGACAGAGTGGGGAGCAGAATAGGCAGATGTGCTGAAATACACTGCCGAGGGAGAGCAAGTGGGTGAAACTGGAGAGGTCTACTGTGCCATGTGGCCAGGGATCGAACTCAGATCACAGTGACTGTTGATAGCTTGATAGCACTGAGACTTTAACCCCTGCACCAACCAGGCTGGCCCCTATGGCTCCTCCTTATCATAACTCCCCGTGGCTATGAGGGAGTTCAGCTCTGCAGTTCCTCTAGGTGACCAAGGCAGAACTGTCCCCACTTTAGGTCACAGCCTACCTATACTCCCC